TTTTTCAATTTTAATGCATTATTATGAATTCTTTATTGTCTTCAATTACCTATACTCCTGGCGGCCCGCCATCAGTTCACAACGTGCCCGAGTGGCCCCTAGTCTTAATAAGTCTGTGCATCACTGGTGTAGAGTAATAAGTTTTTTTAAGTAGATTTTTTGAAGTGTTCCTAATTATTGCAAAAGCTCATTTGCTATTTTTCCTAATATAATAGTTTTAGTATACGACTCTTTGTTTTTGTCTCTATCTTTGTACTAGTTTTGGTTTTATAGAGCGGCAAAGCTTAAGGTTACCGCTTCATTGCCATTGGATTACCCTCACGTACCTCAGAATTCAGTGACCCAGCCCATACGCAGTAATATAATTAAAATATGGTTTTACGTATTGACTGTATGCAATAATATCGCAACGGTTCTGTACTCATATCCTAAAAAAGTATAACCCTTAGGGAGCAACTATAAAAAAAAGTTGCCTTTTCAGATTCCACCTGAGAGAAGCCGCGGTACGGTCACTAATTTAATAATAAACAAAATTTTTCTTTATAGTGTTTAAAATTTTAACAGAAATAACGTATAATATATATATATATAGCCTTTGCGGCGTAGACCTCTCCTAAATCTTTCAATACATCTTCCAAATTTTTTAACATACAGAGGTAGGCAAAGATTACGGTCTGCTCGATCCTGAAATATGTAAATGTGAGAATAAGTAAGACAATAGGAATGCATTATATGTAACGCACGTGACAGTGGAAGGGTTAAACATACATAATAAATCTCATAGTTTGGTCCATTTGCAATATATTACCGGTTTGGTTGATAAACTTCCGCCTAAGGCGACCCTTCCCGCTTTTGACACTCACTTCGGCAACATAAATTAATTTAATTGATAGAATCAGGCGTTACTTTGCGGAAATCCATTACAATAAAAAAATATATAAATTTCTTTGCAACCTTCCGCTAAATAAATACAATGATGTGTCTTATCTGGATTGAAGAGCACCTCCCGCCCTCCCTCAATTGCATGCACTAGCTACGTCACCACTAGTCCCAGCGCCACTACTCCCAACACCACTAGTCCCAGCACCACTTAGCTGTCAGCTGCCGTAGAGTCTACATTACCTGAAGATGCCTCGTGTAGGGGCGAAACACGTGTTGTATTATCGTCGATGGTATGTCTTACCTGGAATAGTGGTGTTGGGAATAGTGGTGCTGGGACTAGTGGTGACGGAGTTAGTGCATGCAATTGAGGGAGGGCGGGAGGTGCTCTTCATTCCAGGTAAGACACATCATTGTATTTATTTAGCGGAAGGTTGCAAAGAAATTTATATTTTTATTTTTTTATAAATTAATTTACCCATAAGAAAAATGAAATGTCACTTCTGCTACGAAATCAAAGCAAACGACATCCATTCATAATAATGGCGCTGTTTAATGCATGTTCAACAGCAAACGACCATGTTTGAGTATTAAGGAACGGTAAACTTCGCGCCGATGTCAAGGGCCGCCAATAAACCGTTCTCAGAACCAAGATCGAGACAATTGCATTCGATTAAGACGATCACAAGTCAATTGATTCCGCATGCGAACATCGAATCGTGGTTGCGCGTAGCGTGCCTTTTTCATATGCATATATTCCAACGCTACGCGGTCAACCTGTAAAATACATATCCTGTATGTATGGTCAAACTACAATATACATAATATACTAATATGAATGGGTCGGCTCGACCGTGGAAGGACCACGCTCTCACAGAATACCAGCGTAAATAGTAGTTTAATGCTTCTGTGTTTCGTATGGTGAGTGTAGAGTACTAGAAACCCGTTTTACTGGAAATAAGGCATTCCATCTTTGTCCTCATGGGTGACAACGCATCTGCATTGTGATTCGTAATTGAGGATAGATGTAGATGACTATGGGCCACAGCAACCACTTACCATCAGGTGGACTGTGTGCTCGTTTGTCATCCAATGCTATTAAAAAAATCCTTTTTCTGCCTCACAGTGCTTGCATTGCTTGCACAGCCAGTATAATTAAATGCTGTGAGGCATTGCCACTTAGTCATCAGAGGTGACAACGCATCTGTAGCCTCTTTGCTTGAAGTTAGTTTGCAGGTGTCCAAGGGCTGCAATTGCCATTTAACAACAGGTGGACTTCTATTTCGTTATATATATATATATATATATATATATATATATATATATATATATATATATATATATATATATATATATATATATATATATATATATATATATAACGAAATAGAAATACGAACGAATATATATATATATATATATATATATATATATATATATATATATATATAAATATATATTATTGTAGTTTCATTAAAATCCATTGAGTAGTTTTTACGTGAAAGAGTAAGAAACATCCATTCATCCATGCATGCATACTTACAAACTTTCGCGTTTATAATCCTATTAATATTATACTGTATTAACTTACACTGTATTAAATGTTTTGTCACTTTAATTTAATAAAAAATCCTCCAAGGCACTTATCTGTATAATCCTTGTTAAAGATTCTTTAAAATAAATTCTGTGGTGTTTTTTTTTTTAACAATTAATACTTACACGTAATAGTTTTAATAAACGGGCAACTGTGAAGGAATAGGAAAGAAAGTGGCCCCTCGCAAATAATAAGAAACTGCGGTTGCGAACCCACCTACCAAGCGTGCAGCATTGCTACGAAGAGTCGCCGTGGGCTCTTAAAATCTTTTCTTAATGCTATCTATACATACATACAAATAAATGAAATTGATGCATTTATTTGTAACGTCCAATTGTCAAAAATGGGGCGGGTGTTCCTCGCCCCCCTTTTGAGTAATCTATGGGGGAGGCCTAAGTTCTGTAGAGGACCTTTGATAGGCTGTAAAATAATGAAATAATTATGATGAGGAATTGTTGAAAAGTGAAATTAGTAAAGACAAGGACCCAAAATTTCTTAGCAAAAGCCATTCAGTGTGGAAATGAAGCAAGCTTTCTGAGCTGCTGGCCGTATCCTCATACGTGTCCTCGACACTCAAGGCCGCTCAGCGAGCTATGAAGAGGGCTATGCTCGGTGTTTCTCTGCGTAATAAACTTATAAATGAGGATATCCGCAGTAGAACTAGAGTAACCGACGTGGAAATGGACCGGCCATTTAGCTCGAAGAACCAACAACCGAAGGGGAAAAAGGGTTCTCGAGTGGCAGCCTCGTACCGGTAGGCGTAGTGTAGGGCGACCCGCCCACTAGACGGAGTGACGACCTGGCAAGACATGCAGGAAGTCGATGGATGCAGGTGGCGCAGGACCGCGCTTTGTAGTATTCCTTGGGGGAGGCCTGTGTGATGAAGTAGGACGATTTGGTGTGTATGATGATTTAGTGTTTTTATTGTAACTAATATTATAATGTTATCAGTTATAATAATTTTCAATCGACAATAGTTCAATGGTAGGGTAGACTGGGTACGGTTGTGCCAGGATACGGTTGTGACAGTCGTCATATTAGCGAATCTGTAAGGAATACCGGGAAGGTTGCAAGGGGAGAGAGGGGCAGTGTGCCCGTCTGAATGTGTTTCACAGTATTGCGTCAGCCATTGCGCGACACTAACGCTAGCAGAAGCCCATATTACTTTTTAACAGTCAAAAGTAAGTATTTTTATTCGATATATTTTAATAATTATTGATATAGTAATGAGTGTTTTTCTTCGTGAAAACTGAAACATTAGTAATTATATAGCTATAATTACTTTGTACATACGTTATGTTGTATTGTCGTGGAAATTGTATTTTCGCGAAGAAGTGCAATGGGTACGGTTGTGACATATTTTCAGGGTACGGTTGTGACAAATGTAAAAAAAAATATTTTTGCTTTTAGATGCCCATGAAACGTTTGAGGAAGACCGAAAGAGGGCAGTGTGATATAACACAATATGAAAATGCTTATACAGAAGTGAAACGCGGAACTTCTTTACGGAGAGCTGCGGAAATGCATGAAGTTAATCGCATGTCTTTGTTGCGATACATTCGGAAACGTGATGGAGCCGACGCGGGCAACAATAAAGACATGGGGTACGTCGCTTATAATAAAGTCTTCTCTGAGGAGCAAGAACATCACCTGTCAAGATATATAAAACGTTGCGCAGAAATTTATTTTGGCCTTTCTACAAAAGAGGTACGGAAATTAGCTTTTGAGCTTGCCATTAAATACAATCAAAAGTGACCTGATATAAGAACTGAGAATGAAATGGCTGTTGAGGAATGGTTTCGTTCATTTATGAATAGAAATCCATCACTCTCTGTTCACGTAGCTCAAGCCACTAGCTTTTCAAGAGCGACAAGCTTTAACAAAACTAATGTCAAAGCTTTTTATGACAATTTACAAATTGTTATGGATAGACATACTTATGAACCCCAAGATATATACAATGTTGACGAAACAGGTGTCACAACCGTCCAAAGACCTGATAAAGTAGTAGTAAGACGTGGCATACGGCAAGTGGGAGCTGTTACTTCAGCCGAACGAGGCACATTAGTCACGGTCGCTTTTGCAGTAAATGCCTTGGGCAATACTATCCCCCCTTTAATAATATTTCCACGGGTTCGTTATCACGATCATTTTATTAGAGACGGACCAGTAGGATCGATTGGGACAGCAAATCCTTCTGGCTGGATGCAAGATGCATCGTTCCTAGTGTTTCTCGAACATTTTAAGAAGTTTTCTAATGTTTCCCAACGCATAAAGTCTTGCTAGTGTTGGATAATCATTCCTCGCATATCTATATTAACACGTTGAATTTTTGTAAAGCAAATGGAATCACTTTGTTTTCATTTCCTCCACACTGCTCGCATAAACTGCAGGCCTTAGATCGATCCTTTCGTCATGATTTGGACCCTTCAAAAAAGCAATAAATACTGCTTGCGATGGATGGATGTGGAGTCACCCTGGAAAAACTATGACGATTTACGATATACCAGGCGTTATCAAAACTTCTATGCCTCTGGATTTCACACAAGCGAACATTCAAGCTGGTTTTTGCAAAACTTGTATTTATCCGTATAATCGTAATCTGTTCCAAGAAATCGACTTTGCACCGTCTTTTGTAACGGACAGAACAAACCCTGAAATTGAAGAAAATAGTCGCGCAGCATCATCCCTTGTACCGGACAGAGCAAACGCTGACATTGGAGAGACTAATTCTGCAGAATCATCTTTTGTAACGAATAGAACAAATCTTGACACTGAAGAAAACAATTCTGCAGCTAACAATAAAATACCATCGACACAAGAATTTGATTTTTTAGCTTCCTTTCAAACAGACAGACCAAACCCAGACGATGGAAGGAACAATCCTGGATCGATCGATGAAATACCGCTTCTTTAATGGGTGAATCTTCAACTTCAAATCAAAGCAATTTTTAACCAACTGCGTCATCCTCATCCACGGCACCTGTTTTTTCGCCTGAAATTATTCGGCCTTTTCCAAAGGCTCTACAAAGAAAAACAAAAAGTTCCAGAACCAAAAAAATTACCATATATACAGACACGCCTGAAAAAGAGACGGTTAAATAAAACTAAATTTACAGATTTTATCCCTATACAAACCCTCTTTACAGCAACCATGGTCACGGGGGGGACTGAGATGTGAAATAAACGCGATAAAATCCGTAAATTTAGTTTTATTCAATGTGTAGTGTTCGCGTAAATTTAAGAAATCATTAAGAGACGGTTAGGCAAGAATATGAAGAAAAAGAGAGACGGTTGAAGGCTAAGCAGGTAAAAATAAATCTTGCTGAACCAAAAGGGAAAAACAAAGGAAAAAGCAAAGAAAAGAAAAGGAAGACACCACCGTCGTCATCGGATGAAGAAGAGTATTTCTGTATAATTTGTATGGGCGCATATTCTGAAAGTAAGGATGGCGAGAAATGGATCAAATGCCAAGGAAAATGTGAGCTCTGATCCCACTTAGAGTGCGCAGGTGGTAGTCGCCATTATATTTGTCATAACGGTAATGAGTCTGACTAGGTCTCGGTATCTTATTTTTTTTAGTTTTTATTACTAAGAACGAACTTTAGATGTCTTCCATTTTTTGATTTTGCATGTTGATACTTATACAAATGATTAGTTTTTGTTGAAGGAGAGGTTTTGAATTAATATTTACTTTGTATTTTAACACAGTTGCTCCAATATATATGAAATGTTTAGTTAAGTTTTTTGACTGATTGTAATATGAAGACTGTTATAATAGATCTGTTTTGTAGTTATAACGATTAGATTATAAATAAAGACTGTTATAGTACTCGTAACATTTTTTTATTTAGTTGTTTTAAGCCATAAAAGTATTCCTAGACTTTATTTCCTTTGTTACGTTAATGTTCAATTTATCCAGAAGAAGATTTATGTTGCCTTATGTAAGATATTATTTGGAATAAAAGTGATTTATAGACTGTTTTTGTGTATTTTTGAAACTGTCACTACCGACCCCAAGCACTGTCACAACCGCCCCTGGGGTGTGGCCGGTTGTGATATTATTCCTTTTTTTCCTGATTTGCTCGTGTAAGGTAACCATTGTACATAAGCGCAAAATTTTTGTATTTTTACGTAGATAAACGTATACTTTAATATAAAGGACATCTTTCTTCCAGTTAAGCGGCATGCTAACAAAATTATCGGCGATCCAATGAAAATTGTCCCTACGATTAGGGTAGGAATTTGAAATTCGATTGTTGAGGACTACTTCTTGGCTCAAGCTTTAAACTTAGATCCAATGTAAGAAGGTAACTTTAAAAAAATATGTCTACAAACTAACAAAAGCATTAACTTGTACAGTATAGAACTGTCTAGCTTAACGTGTTTGTTTTAGTTATAGGTTATCGATAACTGTGTCTTGGTTTTGTAATAGTTTCACGTTTGTGGCCTTAATTAGATCTGTTTTGAACACAATTTGCATATCTTCTTACGACAAAGTCTTTTAGACCGTAACGAGATTATTGTTAGCCGCTCCATTGTTTATAGCTTATGTTGGTACTATTTAAATTGCAAAATAAGGGGAACAAACTAGCACACAGTTCACCTGATGGCAAGTGGATGCTGTGGCCCATATATATTTACATTTATGCTTAATAAAAAAATGGGGGTGTGTCGTCACCTCAAAGCACAAAGATGGAATGCCTCGTTTCTAGAGAAAAAGATCTTCGACTCTCTACACATACCATACGAACACAGCAGCATTAAGCTGCTATTTCACGCCGATATTCTGTGAGAGCGTAGTTCTTCCCTGGTCGAGCCGTCCTGTTCGTGCTACAACCATAATATATATTATGCAGCATGGCTCGTAACTTGGCATGTAAACTTTGTACGTTTACCCAGTATAAGTTGTTTTTAAATATACAATAATTATAAAAATTAATAGAAATTAATATATTTCCTTAATGTTTCTTAAAAATAGTTTTAAAGACAAACAAAACCACAACAAAAAACAAATTTTGATAATTATTAAGTCTTTTTGTATAAAATCTCTAGTTAGACCGTGTCATAAATTGTAGTTTTGTTAAACTGGCTACTAAACTGTAATAGCTATGGTTTTACTTGGAATTCCAAATTGAAATAATATAAGTACATATTGTTCAAAACACTTATCTTTTTTTCTTTTGATAAGTTGAATATTACAAGCCAAATTATTCATTTTATTTAAAACAGAATTTGCTGAAATCAATGATATTTCAATAACGGTCGCAATCCAACGAGCAATCAGACAACAATACACCATAAAATCGATTTTATTAAAAAGTCCGGTTGTAAAACTCTTCCGGTGTCCAAAAATGTAAAAACAGCGACAACCATTGTTATAGATTTTTAGTATTCAACAAATACGTCATTATGTCGGACGTATCAAGATCTGCATTGAGATAAAACGTTAATGGAAGTAGTGGGTTGAATTACAAATAATGAATTTGCGAATTTCAATCGTTATAGAGCTGCGGCGAATAGGTGAGGGATGTTTCGGTTTTAAATAATTCGTATTTGTTTTTTTATTTATATTTTGACTACCCATTAATTTTAGTACTCTTGACAGATACAGAAAAGATAGGATATTATATGGTAACAAAGTAAATATGATTAAAAATATTTTTTGTGACAAACGAGCACACCTGATGATAAGTAGATGATGTGGCTCATAGGCATATATATCTATCCTTAATTAAGAATCGCAAATGCGTTTTCAGATTTCAGCAGCTTCAAATGCAGATGCGTTTTCAGCTCTGAGTACATAGATGAAATTTCTCGTTACGAACTCGGCAGCAGCATTATGCTACTGATTTATGACATTCTGGTATATGGTATACTGGTACTCTGTGAGAGTAGAGGTCTTTTCAAAATACTTTGTAGACATAACATATTATCCTTCAATATATGTACAATAAAAAACCTATGTGCGCACGCTTATATAATATTTACTTTTTATTTCAATTACATTATACTTTTTCATCTGTATGCGTGACTCCCCTAAATGTAGGATATATTTGCCTTATTCGCCTGCCATCTACAAAATCTTTTACAACCATCTATGGGCTATTTAGGTGTTTCTGGTCTTAGTTTTCTATTACGATACCGACGGGGATTATTTATACCCAATCTGAACAAGATTGAATAAAATAAGATTATATGTTTTTTTTATAGGATAGGGTGACAAACGAGCACACAGTCCACCTGATGGTAAGTGGTTGCTGCGGTCCATAGACATCTACATCTATCTTCCATTACAAATCAAAATGCAGATGCGTTGTCACCCGTGAGGACTGAGATGGAATGCCTCATTTCCAGTAAAAAGGGTCTCCGGTTCTCTACACTCACCATACGAAATACAGCAGCATTAAGCTACTATTTCACGCTGGTATTCTGTGAGAGCGTGGTCCTTCCCCGGTCGAGCCGACCCATTCGTGCTACAACTATACTACTAATATAATTGCAGCATGGCTCTACCACGTATTTTTTTTTTATAGAATAGGGTGACAAACTAGCACACAGTCCACCTGATGGTAAGTGGTTGCTGCGGCCCATAGACATCTACATCTATCCTCCATTAAAAATCACAATGCAGATGCGTTGTCACCCGTGAGGACTGAGATGGAATGCCTCGTTTCCAGTAAAAAGGGTCTCCGGTTCTCTACACTCACCATACGAAATACAGCAGCATTAAGCTACTATTTCACGCTGGTATTCTGTGAGAGCGTAGACCTTCCCCGGTCGAGCCGACCCATGCGTGCTACAACTATACTACTAATATAACTGCAGCATGGCTCTACCACGTATGAAAATAATGTAAATTTAAATATGAATTTTTGAGGAAATAGTTCAAGGTTAAACAAAATAAAACCCAGTTTCAAATGAAAAAAGGATAGGCTTTTGATATTATGAATATGAAAACAAATATTTTTTGTGAATTAAATATAGGTACCTAATATATAATCACTTTTGATATTAACATTAAGATCTTATTCCATATTTTTTTATAATGCTTTAATTTCTCCACATTTCGCCGCAACGACGAATTCCACGAATGTAACCAGACCATTACAAACATTGTCAACCAGTGCCGAGATGTTATGTACTTCTGACCCATTTCTTCAAGCTTCCTCGTGCCAACAGAAATAAACGTCTCACATGTTTGTTGCTTTGCTCGAATTACAAATTTGCGCGACTCCGTACCTTGAAGATACATTTGCTAGTAACTATAATTCAGTACGGTTTTAAGCACTGGGTGATAGGTGTATGTCTCTTGGTTGATTGGTTACTGTTGTATGTCACAAACGTTTACAGAATTTGATACTGTTTTTATAATTTTGTTTTCTTTTTATAGAAGAGGGGGCAAACGAGCCTGCGGCTCACCTGATGGTAAGTGACTACCGCCGCCCATTAACAACCGCAAAACCAGGGGAATTGCATTTTTTTACCGTGGTAGTGCGGGGTACTTGCCATCGAGTAACTGGGTACGGATTGAAATTTGAAGTGCTGACGTGCTTCATTTTACATACTCGGTGGTGAAAAAAAAAACATCGTGGTTATCTGAGCACGGAGTACACAAAATATTTCGAGGACATGTGACATTCCAACACACAAATAATGCGACAGGCTATAGGTGTAATCACACTTTCTTAAATAAGAAGATTCTGTGCTCATCTGTAACTTTCCCTAATTAAGATTTTTTATTAAAAAATATTGTTATCGTTGCTAACCTATCGACGAGACGGCATTCCCTGTAGACATATTATTATGAATCGCCTTATCAGAAGGCAGAGCTCGTATTCTGACTGTTCACACGCCAAATCGCTGTATCCACGTGTTGCTTTTTAGGTCTAATTCAGGTTATGGGGAACCGCTATA